GGAGACATATACCAAAAAATGGAGACGGAGACAATTACCCTACTGAGCCCTACTGGCCATAGAACCCATTTCCTCAATCCGTGCTAAAGCTATGAATGTGTACAACAGCATGATATAGAACTATTTGCATCTCCATGGTTGCAACCCGAGTTGTTGAGGACTTGCCAAGTGAGCGTGATAATGTGTGATAGGTTGCTCTTGGCGACATTGCACCAGTGGCCGATGCCACCACATGCGCCATGGATGTCACGGCGCAGCAAGAACTGACTCGTCCTTCATTTGTTACCGGCGCCGGCTACTGGACGCTCGGCTACTTTGGTTCAAACACCACCGGTGGGAGGGCGGGTCTTGGCCCCAGGTGTGGGCCTTTGCCAAGCTCCACGTTCAGCAGGAGGCCCTCATGGCCGCTGTCGGAGAAGCTCAGAGCGAGAGCTCGGCCTGAGCGGCCTGGGCGAGTGGGGTCTCAGAAGTGGACCGTTTGTAGGCCTTTGAGATCGCCATGCTCCTCTCTTCAACTATTGTAAGTGTACATCGTATGTGGTTTGTGAGTGGAATTTGTGGTAGGTAGGTCTTGTATAAGTATAAGTGCAAGAGAACCCTGAAAACAAGCACTACCATGTACAAGTCTTGTCGATCCATTTTGGGGTCACTTGCCCTGAATTGCCTAAGCGGTGGTCAGCACTGAGGGAAACCAACATGTTGATTGGTTGAAACTCCTCCCCACGCATGACCTTCCGTTGATGTCGGCCCCAGGTCTCTGCTGAAGCCATCCATCGAATGAGTGATGCTGGGAGGGCTGGGTGCCTTAGGTTGTTTGCAGTCGTGGGGTGGGTGATCCATCAGCTAAGCGAAAGACACAAGATGCTTTTGTCGAGGAGCTTGTAGTTTTGACAAGCGGTTCAGGGACAATGCCATCCACTTCCGTGCGTTTGAGTTCGTATGAGGGTATGGCATGGTGACAGAATGGTAAAGCTGTGCTTTTGAGGATGGCTGAACTGCAGCCCTTGTAATACATCGGATTGGGATCATAGCTCGAATCTCAAGAGGATACAAGGGGTGGTTCATTTGATGCGATGCGAGAAGGCTGTGTATGCCAAAAGCAGCAACAACAACAACAACAGCCTTGCGCGTGTTTTTGCTAAACAGGCTAAGCAGTGTGCTTTGTTCATTTGTGGCAGTTTGTTGTTATTTTGTTTTCTGTCTTTGTTTATTGTGACAAGATATGCCTCTATAACAATAATTGACAATTCAATGCATTTATGATTTCAAGTCCCATTTGGCTTCCGCGTGGTGCATCGCCATCCAATGTGTGCGTGCGAAGGACGACTTTGACGCCATGTGCGTGGCCAGTATTTCGTGGGCCTTTGCCACTCTGGGTCCTTCTGGCATGTTCGGTGTGCATGTTTGGTGTATTTCGTGGTTTGTCCTCCCCACCTCAAGACCCTTGGAGACCTGCCGCTTGATCGGACCAAATATCTCGTGCTGTGTGACTTTGCCAGGTCATTGGGACGAGCCCTTGCTGGAGATGATCAGCGCCACGGTGGAGAAGCGCGTGGGGAGCTGCAAGACGCAGGAGAGGCCACGGAGAATCACTGAAAAGTCGGCGACGATGGGATTGTGTGGGATTTGTCACACCACAAGATCTATATAAGGTGCAAGGGTAGTTGTGTCGTGTTATTATACTGTTAGTATAGATGGTTCCTCTACAACGACTTGTCGATTCCTGGTTGCAGCTCGACAGCAGTGGCTCTTTTCCATGATCCTTGAGGGTGTGTAGGGTGCGGAAGCCCATCCGAGACTTCCAGTTGTACCTCCGTCCTGAAAAGACTTGAACAAAGTAAGTACCTATAATGTTTCGACAAAACCTAGTTATGTTTGTGTGGTTTTGTTCACACAACGGCACTTCTTTGGGTTAGCTACCACCGTTTTTTTGCCGTTTTTCCGCGCAGTGGAGCAGAAATGCCTCGAACTGGTGCGCGAAGTGCTGCGGAGACACCATAAAAAAGAGAGATGGAGAGGTGGAAGTGGAGCCGATGTTCCTCCACCACGGCACTTCTTCGGTCCAAAAGAATCCGCCTTCCGGAAGTCAGGTCCTTCCGGCTGGTCGCCCTGCTTCGCTCCTCTTAAAGCCACTGGAATCCACTGGAATCCGACTTGCACCGGCCCTGTCCGGCGCTCGAACCGAGAACTTCCGATCCAGGAGCTCTCGAACCTCGCGTGGGCCTTCGCCACGCTGGCCACGCGTGCGCGGCCCTAGACGAACGGACGGTGGGAGCGACCGCGAGAACACACGGCTTTCAGTCAGACTAAGAGGAAAAATGCAATAGGATATGCCATGATATACCCATTCCTGCTGGAAAATAGGATGTTCCTCTATTGCCCTGCTGTCGCAGTTGTTTGATTCGGAGTCACAGACTTAAAGCTGGTCTACTTGGGTGCCGGCAAGTTGCAAGGCAAGCGCCGGCACCAAGTCAGATGCAGATCCCCCATCTCCAGTATGACAGCAGGTGGCCGTTCAATACAAGATCCACCACAGCGACTGTCGGGAGTGGAATTGCTAGATTGTTAGTCTAGATTCAGTTTTTTCCCCACATTTTTGTTCCCTTATTTTTGATGTGTGTACGTACGCGTCCATATATATATATTTACACAGCCATTTTTAACCCCAGGTCGTCACACACGCACCTTGGACGTGATCGCTGAAGCTGCCTGCCAGCGCATCCACGAGTTCGAGCTGCAGCTTGGATGTGATTGCTGTGGGAGGTCTGGTGGAGTTTGGCTGATCAGAATCGCGAAGCTTGAAAACGAGGGCGGCAGCCAGTTCCACTCTGCTCCGAACATGGAACGCATAAGTCGGTGGAACGGTCGAACAGTGTTTATAAACATATATAATCATATATATATATACAATCATATACATATATATATATACACATAGGCCGAATCTTTTTGAACTTGACCAGGACTTTGGACCTTGCACTTATTACTGTTACGTCATGTTAGGTCGATTGAATTCTTGAAGTTTGAAAGTGGGGTGGCATGATTGCTGAACATCACAGAGGACCCTTAGGCGCCCTTAGGCCTTACGTTCGCAGGCCTGCCTGCCATGGACAGAGGAGGTCCCGAAGTTCGGCCAAACAGACCAAACGGAAGGCCGCGAATCTCCTTTCCAAGATGAACAGCGAGTCCCTTCGAGATCTTGTAGACATGCATGTAATGCAGGAAGTACATGTGTTTTGATGATATTGTATAAGAAGTTAAGTACATGCTCACATGAGTGCCAACATGTGCCAACTAATCGTAACTAATCCGGAACCAGGATGTCTCAGGATTTGGTTGCACCAGCTCTAGCAGTTCAGCTCGCCGAAGCCTGTCGGCGCTCGGCTCGACTTAGGCAGCATCTCACCAACACAGCCTGGGCGCTGGGATCTTAGAGGGCCGGAGATGCAGAGTGAGTCAGTTTGAATGTCAGGTTGGACGCTGGAATTTGCTTAGACTCTGTACATTGGGCGTGTGTCAAATCACTCAACAGATCAAAAAAGGTTGAACAATTTAATGTTCGGATTTCAATGCAGATGGCAGGTGTTTAGAAGCAGTCAATGCATTGGTATGTCACAACCATGCCTGGACAGTCTGAACCTTTGATTATTTTGTAATGTTTTGTGTATATCTATATCTACATCTATATCTATATCTATATATATTATATATTTAAACAGTTTGACAATGTATGCAGTATACTTTATGAATACAATTCCTTATTATACAACATTGGATTTGATTAGGTGAAACGTTTTACCATAAACCACTCTCTTAGGGTATCTTGCAGCATTCTCAGCCAGGTTCGCGCGTTTGGGCATCATGAACAATTCCTTAATGACGGCGGTCGCAGGCAGGAGTTCGACGTCAAGATGACAGTTGAGGGGGCATGTTGCGTTCAGCAGGATGTATTGGCCCCTGTATTGGGATGAACATCTTTATATGTCTTTATATATATATATTACTTACTGCATGTTGCATTGGCGAAGCTTCATTCACCCCCAAAGGAGCCTTCAAGTAACGGAGCTGAGTCGTTCCTGGCTGAGTTGGTTTCCTGGCTGAGTCGGTGGGGCCCCAGAATCATTCCGGCCAAGTCAAGGGCCCAGGGCCTTGGAGGGCGCCACGGGCGGCGCCATGGGCGGCGCCATGGGCGGAAGGAGTAGCTTCATGATCTCATGGGCATGATTGCCATCCACTTGCAATGACTCCAGTAGCCTCTTCGCCATTTCACACCCCGAAGACAACATAGAATCATGGTGTCACTGCGATGACCTTGTGGCCGAGTGGATAAGAAAATGGAGATACTGTGCAGTAAGATTGTTGGCGTGGCATCGTAAGTCTCTTTGGTCCCTTGGTGAGTGTGGCTTCAGCCTTCGCTTCGCTAGGCATGGTCAGGGAGAAAGTCTCTAAGTTCGATGCCAAACACTTGGAGCGAAGCGCTGTCGAGTAGCCGGTAGTGGGTGTGTTCAGCCCGTTGCTGATCCTGGATCGTTGCGGCTGCCGGTTGGGCCGAATTGGTATGCAGAGCCCCCCCGGTTGCACTGACGTCAAGTTGGAACAGTTGCCGCATGGGCGGAAGCTTTTTGCTATGCTCAAAGAAAGGTGGAGTGAATTGCTCTGGCAGCTTTTGCATGCATTTTTGCTATTGGCTCGAGCATGAAATGCATGATAGGAGATGAAGGTTGCATTGACCAGAAGCGCAACAGAAGACCAGAACATGCATATCCCCACTCCATCCAACACGCAAGTGGCCCAACTTTCTCGGGCCTGGGCCAGCCCACACCCCGCCCCTACCGCTGTGGGCACCCCAGACTTTATACAAAAAACCTCATAAGTGCATCTACTCTACACCTGAGGGGTTCCAGGTGTTCCACTGAGCTTTTCGTGGTTTCTGTTCGGATTTTACGGGTGCGAGCTGCGGCCAAAGTCGCTGCCGCCGCACAGAACGGGTTCCCAGCGCGATGGTGCGAAAGAACGGATCCCAGCTGTTGGAAGTGTGGTCCCCTGTGGATATGGACGATGACGAGCCAGAGAGGTGAGAGCAGAGGGAGGGAGGTTGAGCAGAGGGTCGCGCAAGAGATTGCTTGAGATATTGCTTAACAAAGGGCGAATTTGTGTCAATTACTTATTTCCTTAACACATGGGAAATTGTTTGAGAATATAGTTACTATGTAGTTGTATAATGTTATATACCTCTTTTTTGTTTAGCGAACGGGCAGGATGTGCCGTCTATGTGTGAACGACTGTACGTACTTGTTGTTCCGCTGCCTTGAGCAGTCTTCCAGAAATGGATCAAGCCCCGTGAAGATGGAATTCTTACAGCACAATGGTGAATAGATTGTATAGGGCCTAGGGAACTGGGCCACAACTGGCGTCGTCCACCTTGTCCGGGCTTGCCCTTTTGACCACGGCAACGGGGCACTCTTGCGGGGTTGAGTGATCAGCAGGCCCAGCACAAGCTGGGAGCCCACGAAAGCCTACTTGGGGCGAGAGGAGTTGTCGCTGGAAGAGATTGTGGCTTGGCCGCAGGGCATGTTTTCGTACTTGCGGTTGTTGTGAGGGCTTGTGCGGTCGTTTGCTGGGCATGCTGACTAGTTGAACTTTGAACATTGATGTGCATGACCAGTTGCTTGACGGGAATTATATATCCCCCATTTGTTGGTGATCAGGTCAGGTCTCTATGTACTTCCAGTTTGCACAGTTTTCTCAATCAGTGCAGAACATGGAACTGTGAACTAGGACACTTCATGAACCTCCACAGCAGGTGTTTGCACCTGTTACCTATCTCGGTTGCATCATGTCACCGCAGTTGACACCCCCATTCCTAATAAAAGATTCAACAGATTCAACTCAACACAAGTAAATTCTCGGACAACATATGGCACATTATGGCACAACACAAATGATTGATCCGCCCTTGCCACCTAAAAGCATTGGAATATATATTGAAATGCTTTTGGATCAAACCGTTCAGTCTTTTGTTCACGTTTACCTCCTGCACTTCACCACCACATTCGGCCCTCTCAGGAAGGGGTTCGGGAGCGCTTCCGAGAGCAGTGCATCCGGCAGCACGGCTCAGTGGTCAGGGCTTGGAAGGTCATGGACCTCAATGCCGATGGACGCCCAGCTCGAGCGCACGCGGGCTGTAGCTGGTGTGTGGTGTGTGTGGTGTGTGTGTGTGTGCGGGGGGGGGGCAAGTACAATGATGTAACCGGGCGGACTTTGACCGCTCGACCCGGCGATGGGGAGTAATTAGCCCATAATCATTTATGAGGTTGTAAGGGGCACCCAACTTGCTGTAATACGGTAATCATGGCCGTTTCTTTGGAAGTACTGACTCCACCTCCAAACGTTTGCGGGTGACATTTTGCTCGGAGCGCCAAGCTTTCACCAAGAAGTATAAGAAGTGTTGGCTAACTGAGTTTGCTTTGCAGGTTCCGCCGTACCGGGCCTGTCAGATTTCGGTGATGGTTTTTGTTGAGGCCAAGTGGAGGCCAAGTGGCAGTCAAACAAACGCGTGCCGAAAATGGCCAGTTGCATGCCTCGAAGGGAAGATCGCACTTGGTCGCCGAGATGTGTGCTCCGAGATGGGCCTTTTGAATGCTCCCCTTTGAGGGGCAAGGATGCTTACTAGGCTCCTGGCATCGCTCTCACTTCTCACTGTGAAAGACTGTTACTAGCGAAGTCACAAAACAGGCTGCGCTTGACCTAAGGAAGGAACTCACCGACACTGGAGGGTGCAGCACTCTGAATTGGGTTGTGTAACTTCAGTGTTGATTGCACTTTGACACTCCGAGCCCGAGCCGAAGAAGGAGGCCAATGATGGTCTTTTTGCTCGAAGTCCAATGACTGCAGAACACTTCAAGCCAGATCGCCTGACACTGCACTGCGGCACTGTCCTTATGCATGCTTGAGCATGAAAAGGCATCTGCTCTGGTGCCCATCAACGGTACTAAGCCTAGATGGAAGATGACTCTTCTGCCTTTGGGGCCATCGGGGACCAAGCACTCCGTACCCTGATCCGATGGACACGGTCTCCCAAACTGAATGCCTCGCTCAAGCGAAGGCCTTTTTTGAGGACCTCAACCCCTCTCGTGCAACTTGGGGTTGATGCCATGCAGCCCAAGGGCTACTTGTAGAGTAAAGGGCTACACCCCTTGGTTGGGTGGACCTCATAGGGGAAGACAGCCACACAATGGCAGCTGCAAGATCACTCAAGATCACTGGAGCTGCGTGCTTTTTCCCCCAGGACGTTTGAGCTACTTCGAGTTCATGCGCGGCTGCAAGCAGATGAGTTGCTCAGTGGCAGTATTATTAGAGTTTCTTTGTTTGTCCAGCTTCGTGAGACCCTTATGCGAGCACCATGGATGGAATTTCACGGTTGGAGTACCCCCACGGTTTGTTTTTTCATTGCCTAGTAACTTTGCATGCAGCGACAGCAGTTGATGGGATCTTGGACTAATCCTCAAATCCCTGGCGGTCCAGATCAGGGGGCTGTTGCTCGATCGGGCTGGCTTGGGTATGGATCTTTGGGCTTATGGCTTTTGTAAACTTTTGTATGTAATTGTATGTGCAGCATACAGGTTAATATATAAGGTATACCTATTATTGTGCGCCGTGAGCACGTATGAAATTGGTTTAATGATTGATCTAAAAGTGACCACTCAATGTGCCTCATATATCCCACTATCTAATGGATGCCTTTTTTATGGGATCATCACCGCTCTGGGTGGGAGACCCCACACTACCCGAGGCGTGGCGAACCCGCGCCGCGTGTGGCGCGCCCTGGGGCGCACGGGTCTACTGACGCTGCGATGCGTGGATCCTCGCCTGGGCGAGCAGTTGGGGACACTCGCCACAGCCATTTGGTGCCTGGCCTGCAACAAAGCGCCGGAAGAACATCAAAATACTGATAATTTGAGTGTTTCTACACCATATCTGTTTTTTTGGTTGTTTCTGGCTCGTGAACTGCAGGGATTGTCTTCCCGCAGGTTCTGTGCCGACAGATGCTTTGCCGTTGCAACGTTCCCAGGGTTTCCCAAAGTTTCGACATGTTGCCACCTAGATGAATGAGGAGCTTTGGGGAGACAGTCTCCCTGCCATTTTCCATGGCCACGTTCGTTGCCGGGAGTGCACTTGTTGCGGATAAGTCATGTTACTTCATCTTACTTCCACGTGCTTTGGTATATCATTTCCATGATAATTACTCGAAATGTCTCGGAACCCATGTTTGCTTTACCGGAAAAAAACGTCGCTGGATGTTTGGCGTCTTTGCCAGGTTCAACTGCGGAAGCGTGGAGAATGCTTGGAGGCATCGCTTGCTCGGGCGCATGCGGAACGTGGGTGGTTGGGTTGGGTTGATGGGGTGATCAACGTCCAGAGGTCTGGGGCTGGCTTGAGACTTCAGATGGATATTTCTTGTGAGCCACACTCGTGAATACACATGGCATATGACATTTCTGTGCGATATTCATGGTCCCCTGGGGATGGGTGTTGGTGTTCAAGCTTCATAGAAGTCCAAACCAATTCAAATCAGACAAACTATTCAGATGTTTAACTTATGCAACTTGGCATCTGGCCCTGTCCAGCATGTCGCATGCTAGCCACGATGGAGAAGGGCGTCAAAAGCCTCCGAACTCTCCCACGGTGGGCAGGAGCTGCTTTAACAAGAGGTCAAAGCTCCGGATCTCCAGCGAGGACTTCAGCGAGGTGCGTTGCGCGATCGACTCCGATCGACTCGATCGCGACCGGCACGATGGAGCGATGGAGGTTGTTTGTTTGGGGGTGTTTGGGGCTGGGGCAGCCTTTATTTTGGTCTGGTTTGGTCGGTTTTGGGGTGTCTTGTCTTGTAGAACACTATGGAACACTGAAGTTGAACCTGTGGCTTGAAGTTGGTTTGGCGTGAAAGGATGGGAGTTCAGAAGTGAAGTAGGGGGCTTCTATGGGGTAGGTAGGGATGGGGTAGTTTCATAATTGGATGTTGGAGCGACACCTACAAGTGGAACGCTCATTCCTACTGCACCTGCTCAGCTAGCATGAGGTCATCAAAGAGTTGAACCCAACAGTCACATGACTCGTCATGTGCATCATTCTCTCCTTCTACTTCGCCCTCATTCAACGACTGGGCTGAGAGCCAGTCCGGACGCACCGGACGCACACCGAAGGACCGAAAACTGGTGCCGTCAAGCTGAGGCATGTCAAGAGCTGCGCTACCAGGGGGACCCGGTGGCCTGTTTTGGGGAGCTTTGCAGTGAGAAAGCCTCCAATGGCATGAGCCGGAAGGATGAGGGGAGGGAGGGAGAGAGAGAGGGAGAGCGAGCTTTATCGTGTTTCCTGCAATTTGTTGACCTCCAGCTGCAACAGTGGTTTCGAGAGTTCTTCTTCGGCTAGCTTGTTTTGACTGGCGGCCCTTTGATTGTGGTCATTGCCGCGAGTGGAGAAGCAAACGTTTGGCCATGTGGACCTGGACATGTCGATAGAATTTGCTTCCTCCTGCGATTGCACGGGGAAGGTGAATGGTGCATTAAGTTGAACCCGTGACACACCAGCTGAAACCGCAAGCATCACAAGCTGTAGTTGTGACTGATCTGAGAAGATTGCGCAAAACTTGAATGAGGTGACTTATGAATATAGATTCTATGGGTTCCAATCTTGAGAGGTCAATACTGAGTAGGTGCCTTTCCTTTCGCCAGTGATGGCTATGATCCCTGAGTCAAGAATGCGAACCCCAAAAAGAAGGTTTGTGTTGGTGCATTCCAGCTGTCAACGAATCTGACTCTATCCTTGGAATATGTATGGTTGCTCTTCCTGTTTTCCCTCTTTTGTGGCCATGTTGCTTCTGGTGTACGGGCCTCCAGCCTTCGGCTCCTTTTTCATTTGGTAGAATTTCCACGGAGGATCGGCAAGGCTGCCGCGCTTTTTGATCCAGGAGTTCGGCTTCTTGCACAGCTGGATGTCTCCCAAAGGGCACCCGGATCGGGGATTTCTCGACGCGCCCATCTCCAAGTGGGCGGTGCCAGCCGAACCCTGGACACCGCCACCCATTGTGCAAAAGAGGGATGCTCGGCTATAATTATTAGCTATAGTCGTGCTAACTTGTTGTCCGATTTGTTGTGCATTGTGCTAGGTTGTGCAGGTGCTTGCTGAAAGTGTTGCGCAGACTGCGCGTTTTCCAACAAACAGCTCACCCGACCGTACACCTCATCAGTCTTATTCAGTCTTCAGATGGATCCACTTTTTGTCAGGAGCCCCTGTTCTCTTTCTCGTTCTCGTGATCAGCATATTGAGATCAGGGCCAGGGGATTTGCCAAGAGATTGTGTATTTGCAGGTTTCGCAGATGTTGCACCCCCAAGATGGTCTAACATGTACCCTGAAAACCACTGGTTTGTAGAGGAAAACAATCTTCCATGGCGCCAGGACGTCGGGGTCCATGATAGGTTTCGCATGGTTTCGCATGTTAACGGATAGGACACCCCACCCGATGTGAACGGATCGGTCTCAGGATGAGCGCAGGGAGAAGTTCCTTGACTGCCTCCTGAGATCTTATGGCGCCTCGGCACGGGAGACTCACCCAAACTGGTTGGGATGAGGTTGCAGCTAAGGATGGCTGCACGAGATCGAAAGAGGGAAAAACCGCAGAGCTGTTCTTGCTGCTGCCAAACTGTTGGTGTAGGAATACATGTCGTTAATATACTTATACTGATATTCAATTCCATGGTCCGACCCTGAAATCTCTAAGCATGGACACGCACGGGTATCACGCACGGGCCTGCGAGGTAACATCGTCCGTGCCTGGCGTGAGGGCTTGGATCGAAACCATGATGATCGCATGGACTACCAGGTGCCCGTCCTGGAAGTGAGATCAGAGAAGGGAACCTGTTTGGACAACATAGGGGGCGGAACCTGTTTGGAGGATAGATAAGCTGATCTCTGGAAATGATGTACTGTAGGTGGCAGGAATCTAGCCACTTTTGGGTGAAACTTGTATTAGGTCATATTATGCAATATTACCCAGGCACTCCATGTATAGAATATATGCCTACATTGACCCCCCACACCACCCCTGGCCCAATGTAGGCATGGTCATTTGCTTTTTTGTTCATTGGTCTCAAGCGATATATATTTACTTGGGTGCTTCTTCTACACCTTCAAGCCGTGTCAGGAGTTCAGCGTGGCGATCAAGGACGTGGGCTACGCGGGGAACGCCAAAGAGCTTTGGGAGGAGAGAAGTACACCGCAGCGGTGCATGGGCGGATGGGCTTGGAGCCCCCGGAGCCCATGTGAATTGGTGAGTGGTCGACGTAAGGTTGCGCTGATGGATTGTTCTTGGATCCTATTTAAAGTTAGGAATGCAATCCCGGCAAATCCCGGTCGAAATTTCCTCTACAGAATGGGGAGCCTGGGGTGCAGGAAAGGCAAATTGTTTTAATACACTTGGTTGGCTCATGATTTTTTTCACGGACCATTTTCAGGGCCATGTTAGTTTGTTTAAAACAATTGGCCTTGCTTGGATGAACCATTTTATAGAGGATTTTGGGGGGTCCTCCCAGAGCATGCGCATTTTGGCGCCCTTCAAAAGCTAAACGCCATTGATTTTGCTCCATAGGAATTTGGCAGAAATGATCACTTGCCTGGGTGAACCATTCTATAGACGATTTTTAGAGGGCCCTGTAGAAATGAACCATTGTCAAATCTACCCTGGGGGTCACCATTCTATTATACTATTATTATATAACTGTGCTCTTGTGGAGTGAGCCCTGGTGAATTCATTTTATAGAGGGCCCGCGCGCGCGCCCCTGAACAATTGAAAAAACACAAACTATAGCTGGGGACCCCCAGGGTAGAGGTTGAATTCCAAGGAGGATCCTGGGGATAACTATAGCATCTACTACGTGGAGATAAGGGACCTCTATGATAGAGGCCTTGAACACGTAGGTTGATGGCCTTGAATTGATCATTCTGGAACACGTTGGGCTTCTTGGGGGCCGCATTCACACGGTGAATCATTCAAGAACACCCAATTGAATCCGAGGAGTGGACTGAAAGCACGAGCTCTCTTGACTCAAAGCACGAGCCGACGTGTTCAAGCAAAAGCCTTGGGATCCCTTGGCCCAAACCTCACACTCTGGGTGGTCTCCAGACCTTGGATTTTCCGTGATGTTCTCTTCAGCTGATAGGAGTTGGACATCAACCAGAATGGCCACATTAGCTTATGGGCCGCTGGCCTGAGAACTGGACCCGGCCAGTGCAGGTGACAGAAACGTGCAAACGACCGGCCAATGCGTCGAAAAACCAGCTCGGATCAGCTCGGATTTGTGGTTTGGATTTGTGAGGGACCTCAAATGACGAGGCTTGACCCCGAGTCCCCACGTGCAAATGAGCTGTGAGTCCCCATCAAAACCCCTGTGAAGAAGCCGACGTCCCATCGGGACCGGCTGAACACTGGTTTCCTCGTCCCCCGTGCCGGCCTTCTTCGGCATCGGATGCAGGGTTTAGCTCCTCGCAGGTGGAAAGATGTGAACGACCCTCCCCAAGTGGACAGGGGGTTCCTTTTTTCTCCAGACACTCTTTAAGTAGAATTGATCTAAATATATGAAAAGATTAACAAAACTGGGGGCGGGCTGGGGGTCTGCATGAATCATTGGAAAAAGCGAATGCTCTCCTTTTTGAAGCCGTTTCTGTTGAAGCTCACATGCTGTACCAGACATGGAGAAGAAAAGTGTGGAGCTCCTCGCTCAGCTCCAGAGCAAGCTGGACAGGGCTCATCCCATGTGCGTGCCGCGCACGGACAAGACTCTGGGACATGAGCTTTGCCAATGGTCAATCCTCACGGACGCCTGGCTTCAAGTGACATGAAAGAAGACCCCGAGCGCCTTCCTTCCCTGGTAATTGTTGTGTATAGAAACATGTTAAATTAATCTCTTTTGCAGGTGAAACATGTCAAAAGTTCCAAGGATGCCATGAGCGCCACCGCTGGCACCGCGGCCTGGTGGACCGTTCTGGAGCGTTTTGCCGCGGAGGACCGGGGCTGCGACAGCGCCGTGGGCTGCTTGTTGGGGCTGACCTTGGGCGATGCCGTTGGAGCGCCATTGGAGTTTTGCGCAGCGGCCTGGGCGGCGAAGAAAGATTTTGCTTTGAGGGATGTTAAGCCTGGTATGGGCTTCATAAGGCTGTTCATCTCAGGATGAATCAAGGGGATGGCCAACAAAAACGCTCAGACGTATGGCTATTAGGCACGTGGACCTGGAAAGCCCCCTCCACATGGCAGAACCAACCCCCGGACGAGCATCGATTGGGGCACCTGGCTGTGGGGCCGATGTTATCAGGTGGCTCAAGACCGGAGAATGATATCGTGAGTGATAGTTCGCCCTCAAAGTCTTAGGACCCTACCAAGTCTGGCCGCCGAATAGGGTCAGGGACAAGGTTTCATATGGTTTCAGCCGAGGAGACCGACATGTCGAGGTTTCATGAGTCTTTTTGGATGTCCTGGTGTTCTCTCGACTTGCGGATGGTTCGGCCTCTTTCTTGCCGGCAGCGAATTTGGTAGTCGATGCTCATGGTTTCAGAGGTTCAATGGGCGCCAGTGACCCCCAAGGTCGGTTTATATCGACCCCTATTTGTCTAAGACATGATAGGGGTGCCAGTGCCATCGAACTTGTGAGACCACTGCTCAGAGTTTGAAGGTTGCTGCTTTGGCCAGTTAAGGTTGATCCCAGCCCTTTGGAAGGCTTTGAGGACGATCGACGGCCGTGCGTGGCCGCAAAGCTCCGAGAAGGACAGCTGCATTACAAGAACGTGAGGAACAAGTTTGAACTGAAGCTAGGTGCCTTTGAATGGGATGTTCTTTTTGGGGTCCTTTTTTTGCGACATTCTCACTAGCCCTTGTGAAAGATATCCTTCCCAGGTTTTGATCTTTGAACATTTCCCAACATGTGCCCCGCAAACCGTGGGTGACGTCTTTTTTTGCATTTGTCGTGCCTTTGTGTCCCTGCTCCTGCTGGCCCGCATGTGGAGGAAACACATTATATAGATGTTTGCGCAGCTGGTTACAAGACGTCTCGAATATCTAGCCGGGTTTTTGTTTGGATTCCTTCCATCCGACGCCAGGTCAATGGACAGATGATGCGAGCATGGCTTTGTGCTTAGCCGATTCACTACTTACGTGTGGGAAGTACGATGGAGGCGACGCCCGCCTGCGCTGGCACATGTGGTGGTTCCACGGCTACTGCAACGCCTTCCGCTACGATATGGAACGTCGCAAGGGGCAGACGCCTGGGTGCGGTGTTTGAGTCATGTTGAGTGGTTGTGAGTGGTTGGATGTGGTTGGAGAGCCCGGCGGGTGGAAACCCAGGAAACCGGACAGAAGGGCCTTGGACTTTGGTAGGCAAGTGAATCAACAAGAGTGGATTGTAGTTGTAGATGATCGTATATAGAATATCGCAGACATGCTTGGAAGGGCCATCGCCCTTTTAGAGTCTCCATAATTTGGGGGGCGGCATATCTATGGTTGATCTGGGTCCTTCTGCCAGTCCCATGTCCTGACTGGGGAAACAGTTGATGTTTAACCGCATACTTTCAAACTGAGTCCATGTAAAAAATAGCAACAATGGTTTTGGGCCCTCGCTCCCCCGAAAAAAAGGAAAGGAAGACCCCGGAGAGTTGACCCTGCAGAGTTTAGTTAGTCTATTCATGTCATACTTTTCGGCCCACCCCAAAAGAAATAGCCGTTGGTTGGTGTAACCCTCAAAAGACCTCCGTCGCTCGGCAGCTGTGCGCCAGATCGCGCCCAGGACCTCGGTGGGTCTCGGGAGTAACGTGGCCAAATCCTTCGTGGAGATCGAACGATCGGTGCAACTGGCACACGCACAAGATCGCCTCCCAAAGGGCACGAGTCATGCTACAGTCGTCCCACCCGTGCACCAGTCAGATGCTCGGAGGTAGCGCTTGGTGAAGACGTCGTGGACAACTCCCCTTTCCCCCACAAAAAGAGGAAAAACGCGTTCCGCGTTTGGGGAACAAAAGGACTGAAGGTGTTCTGTTTTGTGGGGACCTTTAAGAAATTCTATTTGTGTTTTGTACTGGGTTGTGTTTTGGTCTGTTGAAGCAAACCTCCCAGGACTCCAATGATGCGGGCAATGGGTCCATCATGCGTTTGGCGCCCGTGCCAATTGCATATCATTTATGCCCAGCACAGGCCGCTCGGCACAGTCACAAGACAACAAACCTCCAAAACCTTTGTGGGATTAAGATTCTTTAAGAATCTTTAAGATAAATATATATATATTATATAATGTAGATATACTAAGATCGTTCAGGTTCTTTCATGTCTTTTTTTTCCCCCCCTTTTCTGGCTCCCAGTTGGAAACTTGATATCCTGCAGATCAGGCGTTGGATGTTGCAGCTTGGCAGTCCTTAGCCACTCATCCGGGTCCTGAAGCAGCCCTGTGCTGTCGTTTCATGGCCTCCTTCTGTGTCGAGGCCATCAGCCGCCACCGGAATGCGGGCAAAGTCTCGGATTCCGAGCTGGCCGTGCTGGACCCCATTGGGGAGACCCGTAGCTTCATGGCACAACACATCGAGCGCTTCTTGAAGGACAGTGAGAATTTCCGCTTACCACCAGGGTTGGATGATGGCGGGGCCAACCTGCAGCGTCTCAAAAAGCTCTTGATGAGCTCTCCGCCCTCCAAAAAGGAGGCACATTGGAATTGGAAGGCGAAGAATCTGGCCATCAATGAAGGTATCGCTGCGCGACGGGGACCATCAGGGAACGACCTTTACAATGGACATCCCACTACTCCCGGCTATTTTGGCGCCTTGGTGATTTGCTGGTTTGAAAAGATGTTGGTTTTGATTTTACGAGATGCTTATTTATACATTCCTAATTGACCACACTCACACGCCAGTAGACACGCCCAGGCTGTTGTAGATCCCAGCCAGACGCTTTCTTCTTGATCCGATGTGTGTTGTTCGGGATGCCAACGCCAAAGAGTTTGGCCCTGTTTGGGGCTCTGAATCAACTCACGGAGAAGGATGAGTCATTGCCCCCTTTGGGGGCATATGGGTTTGAAAACCACTGAAAAGCCCAGGCGCCTACTGTATGGATGGCCTTGCAATGGCACTCTGGGCTCTGTGGAACTCGAACAGCTTCGCCCACGCGCTGCTGAACGCGGTGAATTTGCTGGGCGACGCCGACACAGTCGGGGCGATCGTTGGACAGATGGCGGGCGCGTTGTACGGTTTCAAGCGGATCATCAGCGATGAGTGGAGCGTGAGATGTGTGAAGAACCTCATGCATTGGGACAAAGGTCCGAGCGTTTCGCGGGTTGGGGCCATCAAAGTTGACGGCGATGTTTGCCATTCGTCTCTTTTCTGTCTCGTTACTTTTCGGCATGGTTCAGTGTTTTTCTCAAGCGCGACCCGACCTTTCTGAAAAGCACCCGTTTGGCAGGTGCTGAGATCGGCCTGCGCGCGGTGCTTCTCTACCACCGCGGCCCACGCCCACGAGCCCAACTGAAGGCCAGTGCTCCCACGCGTGGGGCACCTGCAAGCAGTATGGTGCCCCTCTTCGATCAGCCGAACGGTGCCCGCAGGGGCCTGGCGCCCGCCGGGGAGCTTCCGGTGGGGGACTGGGTGACCTGTACCGAGACCAGGCTGCGAACAGCACCGTCGGCACGGAGGTGTTCGACATAAGCCCGGCAAGCCATGATGGCAAATGGGTAAGTTTGGGTCGCACCAGACACCACAAATGGAAGAGGAACAATTTGTAAACCGAGGGGGTGTATAATTCAATCCGATGATTCGATACATATGCATCATATGCACACACGTGCACACAATACTTCCCGTAACAGTCCTCTGAAACAAGTCCCCTCATGCAAGTTCAGTTATAAGTTATAAGTTTCAACTGTGAAGTTCAGTCAAGACCCCAAAAGGAACCCCAGCACCTGAGTCAAATGATCCGACGCCGTCGCGGCACAAGGTGCGCACAGAGCCGAATCGCATTCGCAAAAGGGCCGCGTCCTTTCTTTGAGCTAGGTACATGGTTTGCACGTATCTTGCTTAGTTGGCACCG